GCAGAATGTCAGTACTGGCTCCATCCTTTTTTTGGGGAAAGCGGGCTGGACTGTAGAAGTGGAAGGGAGCTTGGCTGAAACTTTGTAGGTGTGTTCCCACAGTTGATGTGGATGCTGTTGGGTGAAACCATTTGTATCTTGGAGGCTGAAGCCTGACTCCCCAAAGCAATATACAGAGTAAAGGCAAAACTAGCATGTTTGAGACTTGTACCAGCAATATGCAATTGCATATACTGGCTTTTACAGTAGTGTAATTTTAATAAGAGTCATATCTTTTGGAGATATCTTTATCTCCTCTTCCTTCTGACTCAATTCCATGATTTCCTGCTATCTAAAATATCACAGCTTGAACTGCTGGGACTGCGTTGTTGGTTTCCTAGTTGGGGTTCAGTAACACTAGATGCTTTACAAATGCAAAGGATGTATAAACACATGCATTTTCCTTTTGGATCAGATCTCATGTCTTTCCTTAACAAGAGCCAGAAGGAGATGTTTCAGAAGAGTGCATAAAAAGTGTTCAGTAGGCAGATATGTGATAGCCTGCCCTCCTATTCCAGAAAAAAAGATACATTTTATGCCCTGAAGCATGAGTTTTAATAATCCTCCAACAATATTTTGGTATAATCATCAACTATTATAATTGCTCTGGATCATCGTGTCATCTTTATAAATGCCTACTCCATTTTTTAATCATGTTGGACCAAAAAAAAAATGTGTGGCGATGAATTGCACAGTTCAGATTTATGCTGTATATGGTGTTTAGCCCCAAAAGTTTACAAATAAATGGAAGAGAGGATAAATCCATTTTAGAGAGAGGATTAGGCTAAAATTTCAGGCTCCTGAAAGAGCAAGGATCTAAGAGGATTTTTGGAACGCTGGGATCGGTGTGAGGTTGGCACATGGATGTTGCTGAAAACGGCACTTTCTGCCTATTCCCATCTATAGGCTCCTGATGCATTTGTAAATCCTCATCCTAAAGGTAGGATTGATGTCACCCGTCTTCTGTCATCTAAATCTTACCCGTCTAGATTAAACTAATCTTTGGGCTCTGTCTGCAGTCAGAAGAGAGATGGATACCACAGGGGAAGATTGTTGCAAGAAGATAGCTCAAGGTAGATAAGAGGAATCGCCTTTTGGCAGTACCTCTTGCTGTCATTGAAACTAGATCAGGGAGAGATCTCACGTGATGGTGAGCTCCATTTCCCTAGCTCTAACAGGAGCTAGTCCTACACTTTTTGTCTAACAGACGTTTGCTCAGAAAATCTGGAAGGGGGAGAGATTCTGCAGCAGCCCTGAGCAGCCCAGGCCAGGGCTTACTGTCCCTATTGCTACATGGAGTTTTGTCTTTGTGCTTTCATTATTCCTTTCTCTGCTGCAGCTTTGCATTCCCAGTCTGTGGGGGGAGGCAGCTGTTTGCAGCAGCATTCTGTGGGCAGCAGTTAGAGGTGTTCCTCTGGTTTGGGAAGGGAAAGTATTTCTGGATGGAGTCAAACAGGAGCTATCCAGTAGAGCAGACCTGCAGAAGCCCTACATGCTGTTAATTAACCAAGTCAATTAATGCAGATCTTCCAGCAGGTGACTAAACTTGTGATTTAGCCCAATTCGTTTCCACGTTTAGGTGTGGACTGACATAGAGAAGTGAACACAGCTCTCTGACTTAGAGCTAAAACCATTTTTCTGCCACCCCACCATGTATGAGCGCATCACTGGAGCTATTGAGCATTTGGGATTTTTGCCGTTTGCCTCCTTCATTCCCTGGCTAGCTCTCCCTGCCTCTCTCTTTTTCTCTCTCCCCTTTCCTTGATGAAACAGCCAGTCAGAGCTGTGAGGAGAAGCCACAGGTCTCCAGCTTGTGTTTGGCACACGAGCAGATGGGTGTTGACAACCACCTTTGCCCATCCCCGGCTGGAAGGGGGAGAGGTCGATGTTGGCTGCAGTGAGAGCAGAGGTTGTGCTCTCAGAGACGGGGGAGTGTGGGGCTGGTGGTGGGGCTGAGCGTGCTTCAGCAGTGGAAGGACAAAGTCCAGGTGACCACCAGGAAACACAGTCTTGCCGTTCCTAGGCCAGAGTTTGACGTGACAATAAATCAGGCAAGCAGTGCTGTAGACCCAGTTCTATCCTCAGTTGCACCATAAAGCTGGAAATAAGATGTTCTGTGTTCTTGGTGCATTACAGTACGGTACAGATTATGTATAGGGTTTCAAGCAGAGAAGTGTCAAAATAATAGCTTGTTGTTCCTGTGGATTCATATTCTATTCATAATAGGTATTTGACCCTTTGTATGCTACACTGAGTTTCATTTGCTGGAAACCTTAACATTCCTTCTGAATTTCTTAATGTTCTTTGGTATAAACCAGGCTTTTAATGGTAGTAGTTGAGTGTATTGCTGAATTTTTGTTTGTGTTTGTCTAGTGGGATAGGTTGTAGTTAAGTGAAATGTGTGGTGTAAGCAAACAGAAATTGCTGTATGCATACCATAATTTTCATGTACTTACTGTTTTGAGTGCTGTGATGAAAGGGATGTATCACAGCATTTTTATCACATCAGCTGCTATCTTTGTCTCTACCTGAAAGATGGCAAAGGGCCCCCTTTCATCTGGAGGATTATGAGGCCATTATGGTAAACAACACCACGAGGTTGGGTTGACATTGTTGGAGCTTTCATCTTTTGTTCTAAGTTTTGAAGCATTATTTCTGGTTCTCTTGTTCCCTGTCTCATGACTTGATGTTTAGTGAGAGCAGAGAGCAGCTCCTTGCCAGAGCTGTTCAGGAAAAAATCATTAAACTCAGGAGGGAGGGAGGGAGAGAGAAAGAGAGGCCAGCTGAGTGCTACCCTCTGGTTGAGGGTGACCCTGCGGGTCTGGAGCTCAGTTCTAGTTCCACAGCAGCTACCTGGATCTCTGCTGCTGCCAGCTTCGCCCAGGCAAAATCTACTTAAGCATGCAACATGACATACTGCCCAGTTTCATACCTCTAATCCCAAAACAGAGGCAGATGGATGCATCAACTGACGAAAGAATGTGAGGTCAGAGGACATGAGCAAAGAAGCACTGACACAGATAGTGGGCAGCGCTGCCTTGTTTTCTGTCTGTTTTTTTTTTTTAGCCATGCACCCAGTTTCTTCACCTTTAAGCTGGTTACATGAAGCCAGGAATTAATGCAGGGTCCCAGGGTGGGAGGAGCTGGAAGAGGAGGCTTTGCTTGTAAACCTTAAAGTGTTTCCCCGGCTGGAGGCTGCCTGCTCTCTTTGTGCTAGGACAGGTATAAATGAAGTGCTTCCCATTTGTGTGCTCCAGCTTCTGAATGCAAAGACAACTAATTCTTCTTGGGTAAACTCCAAATAGAGAAAACTTATATTTTATAGTTGACTCTTGTATTTGCCTTTAGTGATTAGTGTGTATTCCTTTAATATTTAAATAAGATTCCTATATTAAACAGAACACACCACAGCCCCCATTACCCATCCCCCTGCACCACTGCGGGGAGGAGGGAGAGAAATCGGGAGCAAAACTGAGCCTGGGAGGGGTGGGGGTAAGGTGGTTTTAAGATTTGGTTTTATTTCTCATTACCTTGCTCTGATTTGTTTTGGAATAAATTAAATTGCTTTCTCCAAGTGGAGTCTGTTTTGCCTGTGATGGTAATTGGTGAGTGATCTCTCCCTGTCTTTATCTCGACCCATAAAGCCTTTTGTTATACTCTCTCTCCCCTGTCCAGCTGAGGAGGGGAGTGATGGAGCGGCTTTGGGGGGCACCTTGTGTCTGGCCAGGGTCAGCCCACCACACTCTGTACTAATGAGGCTAGTAATACGATTTTTGGATGTAAGATTTTTATTTCCTTTCATTTTTTATTGTCACTTTTTCTTGTATTCTTTGCCCAGAATTTCAATCCTTCACCTTTCTGCCTGTGTTTATTTAGTATTGTTGCTTTTTCTGTAATAGCAATATGTATTTAAATATTGGCTCATTGCTTATGCAGTTTAGGGTGTGCCTTCAAGTAAAGCCTGAATCCAGCAAGGGTGGATCCCTCAGCACAAATGACAGGGGATGTCACAGCTCAGATTGTGATTCTAAATTCCAGCACATAAAATCAATTGCCCTGCCCTGTTCCTTCATACTGAGCATTTTGGTTGCTCCTCTTATATCATATGCAAATATTTAATGGAAAAGAAGAGGCAAGAAGAGAGAATTAAATTTAATGACTTGTTTCTCCTTTCTGAAAGCAGCAGCATCTTCCCATTAGCCTGTACTGCAGCAGAGTTTGGCTGGTTTGGTCGTCCTGCCCAAACAAAGCCCCTGGAGCTGGTCATAGGATATTTTATGGAAATTAGTGGGGACCAGAGTCTTCACTTCTCTTGTGTGTCTGTGAGGAGATGGAGCCGTGGACACACCGTCTGCTGGTGCTGTGAGATGCAGGTTGCACAGCCCATACAGGGAAAGAGGCATCTGAACTAGATTCTGCAGTTTCTCTGTGTGTCAGGAGATGTTGTCCCAAGGGAGACGACCCTTCATGATTCAACAGACCCAACTCAAATGCTACAAATTCATCTCAGTTGGCAGTCCAAGGATTTCACTGGGGAGGCAGGTGGATTAAGAGGGGTGGTTTTCACTGGGTAGGATCTGACTTGAAGAGAACAACATGCCTTCCATGCCAAATAAGACGATTGTTATTAATTCATCTCTTCCCAGGTTTAAAATCCAGTGTCCTGGCACCTGTCTCATACATTGTACGTTAGTTCCCAAGTACAGCCGCAGGGTCGACCATCCATAAATCCTCATCTGCAGTTTGTCAGCAAGGTGATGACTGAGCAGGGTGAGAAATGTGGTGTCAGGGGGAGCATCAGGATGGGGAACACCTTGCTCAGAGGGCACGTAGTCACGCGAAGAGCGCTGCAGCTGACGTGCCTTTGCTGATCTCAGTTGGCTTGAGTGTGCTTGTCCAGGACTGAGCAATACCTCAGACGTGGCCCCGCTACATCTTTCTCTTCCTCTTGTGTTTTGCAGCATCCCCTTCAATTAAGCTTCTTGTGGACGACCCGATAGTGGTGAACCCTGGAGAAGCAATCACCTTGGTCTGTGTGACGACAGGAGGGGAGCCAGCCCCCAGCCTGACGTGGGTGAGGTCTGCCGGCATCCTGCCCGAGAAAACGGTCCTGAACGGCGGCACTTTAACGATACCTGCCATCACGTCAGAAGATGCTGGCACGTACAGTTGCATCGCCAATAATAATGTCGGAAATCCTGCGAAAAAGTCCACCAACATCATCGTAAGAGGTAAGTTTTGCCGGCAAACTGTTGAGCTTGGAAGATCGATGGAGTGCTAATCTGACAGGATAGCAGTGTTCACATAGTGGTGTCCTATGTTTCCGAATGTATTTCTGGTCATTCCTAATAATGTATGAGATGAATTAGTGTTGGCTTCAAATAGCCGGTGGCCCTTGTGCTGGGCTCAAACTCCCCAGCTGGAACAGGGGTGGCATGGTGCCTGTTTGAATTGTGAAGATGCGGCAGCTCCCCCGTCCAAGCTGGAGGCAAATGATCGCCGAAGGGCACCATGTCTGCTGGGCATTGCCTGTGCTGATCCCCAGCACACGCTGTCTTGGCAGTGAATGCATCCTGAGCTCCTGGAGATGTCATTACCTCCTTCACCCTTTTCTTCCTCCTCATCAGCTGAACTTGTTATTGAAATTAAGGCTGTTGTGCATGCTGTGAATCTGCTGCCATCAGACGACTGCTCCCTGTGTAGGAGCTTTAGATTAGTACCTATGCTTTAATTATACTAAATAGCAGGATAAATGTCTGTCTTAGATAAAAGTAAGAGAAGAGTGTTTGCAGAACAATTACTGCCAGGTGGAGAGAAACTCTCCCCAGTTGTTTATCGCTTTCTAGATAACCCCAGGGACATAGCCAGTTGGTTTGAAGAACCGGTTCGATTGGCTGATAGGCATCATCAGAGTGGATTAATCTACTTGAACCAAACAGTTCATCTGAAACTAATTTTCTATAATCTAATCTGTGAATGGTAGTGAAACATAAACTCCCACGCTATAGGAACTTTAAATAATAACATGTGATTAATCATACTCAGGAGAAACTGCTGTATAGAGAGCCAGTGGTGTGAATATTTTATGAGAGCCGTAACCCCTGTTCACTTCTTATTGCCCAACATATCATACTCTTCAGCAGGACGAGGAATTAGAAGCTATTTCTGTTCTGGGGGTCAGGGAGAGAGCATTGCATCATCCTAAGTCTGCAGGAGTTTCTCAGGAGATGTCCCCAGATTTATTTGTAATACTGTATTTCCATTTGAGTTTTTGATATTTGGCTTAGGCGTTTTGTTGTCCAAAAGTAGTCTTGCTTCAGGAACATAGCATCGACGTTAATTTGCTGTGATTTACAATGGTGATGAGGTTGTGAAAGGGAGATGTGAGTGAAACACACACTCGGAATAAGCAAAGGCAGAGAAAAGGCTTTGTGTGGAAAGAAATCTCTGTATTTTAATTGACCCAGAAGGCAGCACCGGAGAGCCCAGAGGAAAAGCCAAAGTCCCTAGCTCCCTGCAGATACAAATTTCATGAGTCATAGCATAATAATAATATGCCCTCACATTTTTATTTATAGAAGACCATGCCTATGAGATGCCTAGGAGCTGCAAGATGTTGAACAAAATATCATTAAAGCATTGGAGGTGACTTTTTTCTTTTTTCCTCTGTGCTGTGTGGCCCTGTTAATTCTGAGAAGGGACCGCAACAAGGAACAACCCATTAAATAAATGAAGCACAGCTCCCTTCTAGTCCCAGTTCATTGCTACCTGCTGTGATTTTCCCCTTATTATTTCTGTTAAAAGGGAAGAGCTGTCTTTTAGAAAAAAATCTTTATTCCGGTCTTGATTGAATTATCCTTACTAAAAGTGATGCTGAGTTTAGGAGTGAAATATGAGAGAAATTCCTATCAGAGTTTTGATAATATTTTGTGTATGTATTTCTTAGCATTTTTCCTGTAGCTGGTTGTTTCTCTCTCTTTCGTTTATTTTTTTGTTAATGTATATCAGAATTTTCACACAGCAGCTGAAGAGGACAGAGTATTTACTTGAAATAGCATCTAAGCCTTGCAGGAGGATCATTTGGTAAATGGAGTTCACATTTTCTGTCGGGTGGACTACCAGTTCCAGGATTAGACAGTAATCCCCTAATCTTACCCAGAAAGAAATGTAAAGTTGTCTGAGAGCATCATCAGGGCTCACATGAAATTTGTTCCCTTTAAAATTCACTAAATTTCTCTATGCATTTATCTGAAGGTGCATTTGTTGTATGTGCTTCATTCCATGGATGCCACCTTACCTTCAGCAGCTCTTGATTTTTTTTTCTGGGCATTTTTTCTGTCTTTGTGGCTGGCTGCCCAAGTCTGTGACTACCCACCACGCCTGACTTTGAACCCATTGTGAATGATGCCATATGACTGCCACACATTTAATAATAATTTGAAAATCTAAACCCAGAGAGAATCCTTTAAAAAGAAACAAATAAAAGTAAATGAATATCAAAAGTAACTTATCCTTTTTGAAAGTAAGAAATTACGTGGATCAACGAGCAATGGTGGCAAGAAATGAGGTTATGTGTAAAGAGCAGATTCAGGCATTGAGGTGCTGATGTGACACCGAGGTGTATTCAGGTCAGCTCAGTGCTCCTCCATCCATCTTCTATGGGACCCTCAAAAAGTGGGGATAAATATGGTGAAATGGCAAAATGACCAGATATGATGGCTTGGGGGGGGAATGTGTATCACCTGGTGCAAAATGCGCCCACATGGAAGTGCTGTGCAATGTGTGTTTTCTGCTTCTCCAGGGGGTAAATAACTAGTAATATGTGTTCTCTGCTTCTACATGTTGTAAATAACTGGTTTCTGCAGTTTCCATGTGCTACTGGAGGAGTGTTGGGGTAGCAAGTGCCACTGATGGTCTCAGTGCATTGCTTTCCATTTGTTAGCTCCCTGGATTTATCGGGAAGCCTCCAAATATGCATAAGCATTTAATATGTTCTCTGTTTTTCCGCTGTTACTTGATTTCCTCTCCTTCCAGTGAGCATTGGCACGGAAGATGTTTGTTCTTAAAATAAAAAGCAGATTAAAGCTGCCATTGCAGCGAGGAAACCATTTAGTCATAACCAGTTTTGGGTTGTGTGGTTTTTTTTTTTGTTTTTTTTTTTTTTTTTGGTCTTTTGGCCTATATAACTTAAAAGTAATTGTAAATCCTTCCCACAAAAACAAGCTGGGTGCTTGCTTGTCAGTTTGGATGGAAACGGATCCCTTGCAGAACAACAGGAGCTGCACACATGCTGAGGGAAGAGACTCCCTCATACGCTGCCACCTCAAGCAGTTAAATTTACACTTTCAGGTAAACCAACATCCTTTAAAGACAGCCCTTTCTTAAGCAAGTTGTAAGCTGCAAACTCTGCTCCCTTTGTCTCTGTTCTGCTGAGCTGTTGTGTTAGTGCCTTTCCCTTTCGGCCATCAGATAATGTAAATGAAAGCTTTGCTGAGATGATAAAGAGGAATTGTTTTGAGTACCAAGAGGTACAGATATAATGCATTATCTTTCATTTCCTCCATTTGCTTTGAACAGGAGCTCACTAGAGGCAAATCAGTGGCCGTGTGCTGTGTACCTGTCAAAATCTTAGCGAGAAAGTCTGTGAAAAACTGTTTTAAAGAATGCCATTATCGGCTTAACTGTACCCAAAGTTATTGCAAAATATTTCATTCCATCAAAGACATTGTCGTCCATCAAGGTGTCTTGGGTCAAACCAGAGAAAGAAGAAATGCTCTCTCATTTCAGCAAAGCTGGCTGCTCACCAATTCTAATCATGAAAGTTTCTTTCCAAGTATTTTCTTTAGATTAATGAGTTCTTTAAATGATTGCAAATCTGCTAGCATTTGAGTATTGGTGGGTGTTCTCATCAGTGGCATCTTCACATCCTGCTCTCAGACTGATGATTAGAATAGCTTCCCATAGCATATTTCTAGACAAAACCATTAGAAAGCAGAGGAAGCTCTAAGAGAATCTTAACTCCTCTCATTCTAGTAAAACTTGACGGGTTTCTCCTTTTTTTTTTTTAGAAAAAAAAAAAAAAAAAGCTGTCTCAAGTAGCAAATCCAACACAGCCGCTCTAGATAAACAAAGTTCCTGACAACTTCAATGCCTGACGTGCATGTGTATTTTTTGCTGTGCTTGCTTGGAGGTTGTTCTGTTTTTCTGACTTCTAGATAATAGAGAGGAATGTTGTTCAGGTGGAATGGAAATCCTTTCTCATAAAGGCCAGGATGCCGGAAATCTCTTGCACTTCTTTCAGAGTTCTTTCCCACCCAAACTATTTCTATTAATTTGCTTTCATCATGAATTTGTCACTATATGCCTCTGTTGGTCTCAGTTAGAGGTAAGTGGTAATCAGTCTTCCTACGGATATTTTGTTAATTAAAATAAGAAGGAAACACACAGATACATTTATGTTAAAATCAACCTTGCTTACTCACAGCCCTGGGGCCAACACACATGGCGATGTGGATGCTTCCTCATCTTCCGTGCATGCACCGCTGTGCAGAGGGGAGCTCACATTATTGCCAGGAGCTTGGGAATTACTGACCCCACCTGTGATGTGGTCCCAGGCTCAGTTCCTTGCCTTGATCTGGCATGGGGAGTTGAACATCCAGCTTATCCCATCTCCCAGGAAACTCTTCCAGCCTAAGGATCTTTTAGACTTTGCTGCTGGAGGTTATTTTACTCCTTTAAAATTTTCTCTTCACTGCGTGTTTGGAGAGGGAAGCAAAAGGCATTAGAGAAATGGTAATATTGGCCTTGTAATCATTAAGATACTACATAAAAGCATGATCGTCACAGTACTGTACAGATTTTGGGTGACAATTGGAAATGTCAAAAGAGGCAGGAATCAAGATAATCATATGTCTACGGCTTCTGGAAAATTATACATTTTCAGCATGACTCAAACTGGGTACTCAGAATTGTGAGAGCATGGAAGAAAAAATACTCCAAAGACACTGCAAAGGGGAAAATGAAAATAAAATCTCTCTGTAGATACCAGTATGTCAATGAAGAATTAAAGGCTTTTGATGATGATGTAAGGTGGCTCCTCCATCCAGTAATAGAGCAAAAATGCTGGGTAGCATCTTTGAAGGACATCTGTGCGCTGTATTGGGAAACAGGTAGAGCCAGAGAAACATTTTACAGGTCTTAAAGTACAGAGCACTGAAATTATTTGGAAGAG